ACTAACATGAACCTAAAACCAGATGAAGAGGATTTAAACGAAACAGCTTATTACTGACCTGAGAGTTTCCAGTGTACAGTGTGGACTCTTGAGTCCAGCAGACATCAGCTTCACTCCTGAATCCTGCAGGTTGTTGTTACTCAGGTCCAGCTCTCTCAGATGGGAAGGGTTGGAGCTCAGAGCTGAGGCCAGAGAAGCACAGCCTTCCTCTGTGATCAGACAGCCTGACAGACTGGAATCAGGAAAACATCATAAACTCTGTGTTTTAGAAATCATGTCAGCAGGAAAATCCTACAGACCATTTTCACTAACATGAACCTAAAACCAGATGAAGAGGATTTAAACGAAACAGCTTATTACTGACCTGAGAGTTTCCAGTGTACAGTGTGGACTCTTGAGTCCAGCAGACAGCAGCTTCACTCCTGAATCCTGCAGGTTGTTGTTACTCAGGTCCAGCTCTCTCAGATGCGAGGGATTGGAGCTCAGAGCTGAGGCCAGAGAAGCACAGCCTTCCTCTGTGATCAGACAGCCTGACAGCCTGGAATCAGGAAAACATCATAAACTCTGTGTTTTAGAAAATCACGTCTGCAGGAAACTCCTACAGACCATTTCCACTAACATGAACCTAAAACCAGATGAAGAGGATTTAAACGAAACAGCTTATTACTGACCTGAGAGTTTCCAGTGTACAGTGTGGACTCTCGAGTCCGGCAGACAGCAGCTTCACCCCTGAGTCTCCTGGATGATTGTAGCTCAGGTCCAGCTCTCTCAGATCGGAGGGGTTGGAGCTCAGAGCTGAGGCCAGAGAAGCACAGCCTTCCTCTGTGATCAGACAGCCTGACAGACTGGAATCAGGAAAACATCATAAACTCTGTGTTTTAGAAAATCAAGTCAGCAGGAAAATCCTACAGACCATTTTCACTAACATGAACCTAAAATCAGATGAGGAGGATTTAAAAGAAACAGCTTATTACTGACCTGAGAGTTTCCAGTGTACAGTGTGGACTCTGGAGTCCAGCAGACAGCAGCTTCACTCCTGAATCCTGCAGGTTGTTGTTACTCAGGTCCAGCTCTCTCAGACTAGAGGACTGGGAGATGAGAACTGAGGACAGAGCTTCACAGCTTCTCTCTGAGAGGTTACAGCCACTCAACCTGAAAAAGGATTAGCAATGAACACAAACTGAATGTTTTATTTGTCAAATATACAGTTTTAGAAATTGCACATCCATTTATCCACCTACAGAACTTTGTTGGAGGCTTTGACCACTGGCAGCAGCCTCAGAAGAGCCTCCTCTGAAGCAGAGTATTTCTTCAGGTCAAACACGTCCAGATCTTTTTCTGATGACAGTAAGATGAAGACCAGAGCTGACCACTGAGCAGGAGAGAGTTTATCTGTGGAGAGACTTCCTGAACTCAGGGACTGTTGGATCTCCTCCACTAGAGAACGATCATTCAGTTCATTCAGACAGTGGAACAGATTGATGCTTCTCTCTGGAGACAGATTCTCAATGATCTTCTTCTTGATGTACTCAACTGTTTTCTGGTTGGTCTGTGAGCTACTTCCTGTCTGTGTCAGCAGACCTCGTAGGAGAGTCTGATTGGTCTGCAGTGAGAGACCCAGGAGGAAGCGGAGGAACAAGTCCAGGTCTCCATTTGGACTCTGTAAGGCCTCGTCCACAGCACTCTGGTAGAGATGTGTTAGTTTAAGTTTGTCTCTGAAGACTTTAGACCACCAGGAGGTTGTTTGTTCTTCTGCCAGCAGATTGACACCAGAGTTGATGAAGGTCAGATGGACATGAAGAGCAGCCAGAAACTCCTGAACACTCAGATGGACGAAGCAGAACACCTTGTCCTGGTACAGCCCTCTCTCCTCTTTAAAGATCTGTGTGAACACTCCTGAGTACACTGAGGCTGCTCTGATATCGATGCCACACTCTGTCAGGTCTGATTCATAGAAGATCAGGTTGCCTTTCTGCAGCTGCTCAAAAGCCAGTTTTCCCAGAGACTCAATCATCTTCCTGCTCTCTGGACTCCAGTGTGGATCTGTCTCAGCTCCTCCATCATACTTGACGTTCTTCAGTTTGGACTGAACCACCAGGAAGTGGATGTACATCTCAGTCAGGGTCTTGGGCAGCTCTCCTCCCTCTCTGGTCTCAACACCTCCTCCAGAACTGTAGCAGTGATCCAGCAGAAGACTGGGATGTGGCACATGATGTGGAGGCTTCGTGATGTCTTGATGTGGGAGATGATTCTGCTGGCCTGCTCCTCATCTCTGAACCTCTTCCTGAAGTACTCCTCCTTCTGTGGGTCAGTGAACCCTCTGACCTCTGTCACCATGTCAACACACTCAGGAGGGATCTGATTGGCTGCTGCAGGTCGTGTGGTTATCCAGAGGCGAGCAGAGGGAAGCAGGTTCCCCCTGATGAGGTTTGTCAGCAGCACATCCACTGAGGTGGACTCTGTAACATCAGTCAGGACCTCATTGTTGTGGAAGTCCAGAGGAAGTCGACACTCATCCAGACCGTCAAAGATGAACACAACCTGGAACTCTTCAAAGCTGCAGATTCCTGCTTCTTTGGTTTCAGGAAAGAAGTGATGAACAAGTTCCACCAAGCTGTACTTTTTCTCTTTCAGCACATTCAGCTCTCTGAAAGTGAATGGAAATGTGAACTGTATGTCCTGGTTGGCTTTGTCTTCAGCCCAGTCCAGAGTGAACTTCTGTGTTAAGACTGTTTTCCCAATGCCAGCCACTCCCTTTGTCATCACTGTTCTGATTGGTTCATCTCTTCCAGGTGAGGCTTTAAAGATGTCTTCTTGTCTGATGGTTGTTTCTGGTCTGTCTGGTTTCCTGGATGCTGTTTCAATCTGTCTGACCTCATGTTCATCATTGACCTCTGCAGTCCCTCCCTCTGTGATGTAGAGCTCTGTGTAGATCTGGTTCAGAAGGGTTGGGTTTCCTGCTTTAGCAATCCCCTCAAACACACACTGGAACTTCTTCTTCAGGTTACACTTGAGTTTACGTCGGCACACTGCAGCAGCAGTTCCTGAATGAAGAAAGAAGAAATGTGATTAATAAGTGGATGCTACAGTAAATCTGATAAATGTAAACTTTAAGACATCAAGATGGTATTTATTTTCCTCCTCCATGAAATCTCTTCAGCTCATCAGCTGTGAACAGTTTCTGAGTTTCAGCCCAGAAGAATTCATAGATCTGATCCAAATGTGTGCATCATATTAACAGCAGAGTTTGAAATGGAAACTTCTCCCATGTTGCCTCCATTTCCTCTTTCCATCATGTTAAATCTGTTCAAATCCTCTTACTGCTCTGCAGACGCTCAGCCAGCTCCTCCTGCTTCATTCTCCTCAGGAAGTGCAGTGTGATCTTCAGAAATGCCTCTCTGCTGCTCCTCCTCTGCTCCTCCTCCTCACCGTCCAACACCTCCTCTCCTCCCTCCCTAAGCATGCTGGGTAATCTGGACTCAGAACTCTCTGGAACTTCTTCACCTCGTTCTTCACAAACCTGCCAATGTTTTCCTGGAGCAGCTGGAACAGAAGAAAATGTAAAGTTGAACTGGTAGAAGTCAACATCAGATCATCTGTGACAGACAGAAAGCCTGCTGGTCTGCAGAGTGCAGCATGGAGACTGGATCAGAATGCTGCTTCACTATTTACTTTGTGGACTGCCCTGTCTCCTATAATATTTTTAAAGGAAACATATTGCTTGCTGAGATTTCTACATAATGAGTAAATGCTGTTAAAGAACAAATTAAGCAAATCACAGAAATGTTGATACTGAGTGTATCAGTCAGATGTTCTGTAGAACAAGTTGGTGTTATTGAGGACTGTTTCCATATGGTGCTGGTTATTCTATAGTGGGAGCCCTGCGGTGGTAGTGTAGCCTAACTGACGTCACACAGTTAAAATTGGTGCGTATCAGTGGGCTGGTGGAGTGATGGACTACAGTTGTGCAGTGCAATAACTTTCATTACAAGTGCGTGAATGAAAAAGAGTATTTTTGTATCTTTGTGTCGATGCAGCTAAACATACATTCTGTTATGTTGTTACTGCAGAGGGAAGAAATAAACAGCATATCAACCCTCTCTCAGCTCTTTATTTCATATTTGGTCTTAAGTGATGTTCTGCTGTGACAAACAGAACTAGCACCCAGACTGAGCGTATTCCTGTTAGCTCCAACATATTCTAGTTTTCCTCTAAAATATCTGATCTCACAATAGGTTATCAGCTGGGACTGACTGCAGCTTTATGGATTATGGCTGCCTGTGAACATCATCCAGAAATTAAATATAAAATAATTTATAGAAATAATTTCAATGACATTTTTGTGCTGGCTCCTGTAATTAGCAGTAGTAGCTGAGCTTGTACATTTACACACCATAAATATGGAGTCCAGGTCTGTTTGATGCTGCTGGGCAGACTGACCACTGGGAACCTCTGAGCTCTGCTCATCAACTCTGTGAAGAAATATGATGATTTGAACATATAATGACAAACAGTGTTACATGTGCTGTGTTATATCTGGTAGAAACAGATCCTCATACACCTATACCAGATCTTGGTATAAAAATGTATGATCTGGTCACTTTCCATGGAAACACCGCTGGGTGCAGGGTAGACTGGACAGGAGAAAATGCTGCTGTTTTACTCATCCAGCTGTGTCTCAGTGGACATCAGCGGACGAGGAGGCTGCTGAGGTCCTACTGGACTCTAACTGGACTTACAGTTACAGTAAGCAGCAGACAAAAGGGCATGCTCATACTTTTAATATTTTTACTTTCTCATGTGTTTGACATTTGTTTTGCACTGTTCTTTGAACCTGGTTCATTTCTGTGCTGCTGATGTGACATGAGAATTTCCCTCTGGGAATAAATAAAGAGTCTATTATTATTTTTAATTAACAAAAAACAGTGCTGAACCAAGACCTACCTGAGAGCTCTTTTTAGGAGAGTCAACAAAACAACACAAACATTTAAGATTCTTACTTTTGTTCAGCATCATTATGTCCAGCTTTGAAGTGAACAGGGACATGACGGTCGCTGTTCACGGACACACAGCTGGGTCCAGGAGAATCTGGTCTCTGCCGATGGATCCTGAACAATGAAATAACAAATCAGATGTGTCCTCAAAGCAGATTTAATAGATATATTTATGTGTTGGTGTCTCTGGTAGTGAGTTTTCAGCTGAATCTGCAGTTTCTCAGCGATACAGAGTTTTATAGCGACTTTCAGTTGTTGTTTATCTGTCCAGCTGCATCTTTACTGTTAGTAGCTCAAAACTAAACTTCATTCACCTCCATTGAGCAAGAGGAGGCTCCATAGACAATGTTCTTATACATTCTCAAACCTGCATCCAGCTGTTTGTGGATTTTAACTGTGGTTTTGATATTTGGACTAAGATCTGCAAAATGTGAGACCAGTTTGAAAAAATGAAGAGTTAAGAACATGAAGTGATCAAAACAAAGACACCAAACCTCATCTCAGGAGAGACACAAACATTTAACATGCTGACCTTTGATCAGCAGAGTGGTGTCCACCTTTGAAGTCAATGAGTCTGCCCATAGACCGGTCACTCTTGATGGACACACAGCTGGGTCCAGGTCCAGGTCCAGGTCCAGCAGAGTCTGGTCCCTGCTGCTGCTCTGGGCTTCAACACAACACACACAGAGCTTTGAGAGTGAATAATGATGGTGGAGTGATTTGAGTCCTGGACAGTTAGAGATCCTCATCTCACCTCTGAGCTTTGGTCTGGCTGTCATGTTCCCCACACAGAGTGCTTTTAGAGGGAGGGACTCCCTCCTCTCTGTCCTCACACTGATTCATAGCAGAGCCCACACCTTCACACAAACACAACAACATGCTGAGAGAGCTGCACTCATTCATTACAACAAGCTTTACATCTCAGGACACTTTAGTTCTCCTTCCTCTCAGTAACATGACACAAATATTCAGGGTCCACAGAAACCTTGTTGGAGCCCTAAACAGGATCTGATGACCCCAAAATGTGTTACACAGCCACCAGATTCACCCAGAGGTTCAGTATGTTGAACACAAAATATATCAGATGTATTAGACTGTCAAGATTTGTTACAGTACACCCAAACATCATTGTTTAAATCCTGATCCTGGTTATCAGACATTACAGATTCCTCTGGTTGGATTCTTCTGAATTCACTTCAGGTCAACTTCTCACCCAGTGCATGCTGGGAGTAGCTTCATCCCCCTGAGACCTTTTTAAAACAGCTGGACTTTAACTCGTGCAGCTGGTTAACAGCTGTGATGAAATTAAACTTTATTTTTTAAATGACAATCGGAGCTCTGTAGAAGTTATTTTTTGTAAATAAACTTGTTTTTATCTGCATTTTGTAATACAATGTAAACTCCAGATTTATATGTTGGTTCTTTTTAGATCAGCAGTGTTTGTACATATTTAACACAATAAAGTGTCAGTTAAACAGAAACCTGAGATTACTGCTCATTCAGGGTTCCCACGCGTCCTGGAAAACAGCTGACCAATTATCCAGTCATGGAAAACTCATGGAAAATAAGAGAAACTAAAATGGTCTGGAAAATTATTTTAACATTATGTTGCAGCAGCGTTGTGAACACACCTCTGAGTCAGGTCACATGCAGCACAGGTTGGTGACATTAATTCTAGTGAAAGTTTCATGATCCTCCAAAGGTAAATATTAGTCGCTGCTGGTGCTAACTGTGGTAGTTTTATCAGGTTTTTCTTTTCTTCTCAGCTGTTTTAAACGGGTGAATAATGTTAAACACTAGCTTGATTTGCCTGCAAAGGTTTAAGGTTTGTGTTTCAGCTGTGGCGAGGAGCGATGGGCTCAGATGTGTTATTGTAGAGAAAGTTGGAGAACAATGAAGAGGAAGCCGGGCTCAGAACAATGAACTGAAATGAAGTAGTCCAGTTTCTGACCGTATTACACTTGCACATCAATACTCCAAGTACTTTGTGAAGTTGCGTTGTGACAGCAACATGTCTGAAATAGTTTTTTGTACCGTTACTCTGCGTTTGGACTCAGGACCACAGAGACGTTAGAGAGCTGAGCTGCAACAGATGATGGGATTTGTTAGTACGTAAAATTGTAGCTTATTATTATATAACAATAAAGCTACAAGCAGAAATAATCGGTATCCAAGCAGGTCATGAAAAATGCAACATTTTCAGAGAAGAAGAGCAGATGCAGGGACTTCAGAGAGAAGTGATGAAAGAATTTGGACTTGAAGCCTTTTTTGTAGGCAGGTCCTGATCCTGTTTTTTTGTCCCCGGTACTGATCTGAGTCATTTCATATTGAGTATCTCAATCAGATACTTGTATTTTTCCAGCACCACTGTGAGTGTTTATTTTTTAGGTGGCTTATGAAATTGGTAGTATTGAATGCAGCTCTTTTAAAGCGAGTAAAGACAACCTGCAAATATTGGGCTTTAATCTGCTTTCCTACAGCGGTATGGACCCAAAATAAACACTTTACTGTGGTTTAATTGTAATAAACGGATCAAAATGATGCCGAAATAACTACATAATGATGCTGATTTGTTTAACATATGAATTCATGCTTTGTCAGGTCTGTCAGCAAGATGACAAGAAAACTACTTTTAAAATGCTTCTTTTCTAAATGGAGTTCAGATCGATCAGGGCTGCGTTATTCTAGATTGTTTCATTGGTAAGTACAACAAAAAACAGACATGTTTAGTAAACTTACCAGGAAGTTCAGCTTCCTCTTTAGTTTCTGCAAGCAGTCTCCTGTTTCTGTGGCTCTCTGCAGCAGACAGCTTGAGAAGCGCGAGCCAACTTAAATCCACTTTTTAATCCCCGAGATTAAAATAAAAAGTTCATTTCATCAAAGACATTAACTCTGAGCTCCCTTTCGGTTTCGGTTTAACGAGTGGCCACGTTTGTCGGTAGTGTCCTTCCGTATCGAGGCTTTGAAGCGTGTCTCGAGGCTTGTGTTGGTGACGTGTGTGGTGACGTTCGCAGCCTCGCGAGCCGGTTGTACCACGTGACTGATTCAGGATTTGGGTTTGGCGTGCGTTTCGAAAAGAGCAGCAAAAAGGAATGAACCCTCCTCAACATTTTGTGGACTTTTGATTTGATTTTTGATTTTAATTGAACACAATTAGATTGTAGCTACAGCTTATTTTAAATGACAAACATTTGATTACTTATGTCAGAATTGCTTTGGTCAAATAACTTCAAAGATTGTGATGAAACAGGAAATTTTTAGTTGAGTAAGACTAGCGGCAGTAAGAAAGTGTTTTTTTGTAAGAATTAAACTGGGGGCTTTTACCCCATATTACCCTAATAATAATTTTCTAGAGCTCCAAAAAAAAGAGACCGCCGGAAGCTAAGCACTGTGGAAAAGTTATTTTAATAAAAATGAATGAAATGTCTGTATTATCTAAAGTCATAAACCAAGTAACACAAGCACATTCACATCATAACCCTCTCCCTTGTTTCCACTTTCCCTTTTGACCCTGTCATTGTATCATACAGACAGACACCTTATTAGTAAGTTAATCATTTATGTATCGGCATCACAAACATCATTCATTAATTTATTCAATTCAAAGCTTTACAAACCAAAGCCATGATGCCATTATAATCACTTTAACTGTTTTACATGTATTGTCCACTTGATGGCACACTAGAGCAAATGAAGCACCATGAAGCTTCGGCCCATGAGTGAACCAATTCAATGGAAAGCTTCAATGCTTCATGAAGCTTCGGCCCATGAGTGAACCAATTCAATGGAAAGCTTCAATGCTTCATGAAGCTTCGGCCCATGAGTGAACCAATTCAATGGAAAGCTTCAATGCTTCATGAAGCTTCGGCCCATGAGTGAACCAATTCAATGGAAAGCTTCAATGCTTCATGAAGCTTCGGCCCATGAGTGAACCAATTCAATGGAAAGCTTCAATGCTTCATGAAGCTTCGTCTCGCCATCACTAGTGTGAGGAAACGACCATTGAGTCACACTTTGAACTTTGCTGTTTGTCACGGAAAACGCTGAAAACAGGAAGGGGGCCAGTTGATCTTCTTGTGAATTCATCTATGGCGTGTTGCTGCCCTCCACTGCTCGTTATTCTATTCACATCTTAGTTCTTCTTCTTCTTCTTCTTCTCTGGGTTTTATTTATCTTGTTCAGGCGCATCCCGCCACCTACTGTACCGGAGTGTGTAATATCAAGGTGTTAGTACTTCAGGTCACAGGTTCAGTGAAGCCAAAAACAAAACTCAACAAAACAAACAAAACAGACTATATGTTATGGTCTAATCCTGTAAATTTGAACAAATTAAAGAGAGCTTTGCAGCACTCCCTTGTTTCCTCACTCATCCCTAAAATCCCTTCTAAATTCCATCCCCGTCCTAATTCATATATCTTGTCACGTAAGATGTTCCTCTCAGATTCATATTTACTACACTTCACGATGACATGCTCGACATTTTCGGGAACGTTACAAACCTCACATTTATCAGACACACATTTTGTCATTAAATAAAGCGTTGATTTTAACCCCATATGTCCAAACCTTAATCTTGAAAAAACCACTTCATCTCTTCTGCATTTCCCTTTGAAACCCTTCACCTTAATTGATTTCTGTATGCTGTAATAGTGTCTCCATTTAGTGTCTGTGTCCCACTTCTTCTGCCATACGTCACTCACTGCTTTTCTAATGAATGATTTGGCCTCTCCTTTTCCAAAGAGAACTTTCATTATTTCATCATCTTTTAATTTCAAATTGCACATCAACTCCAGCTCTTTGTATTCTCAGCATTATTGTACATATTTCAATCAATAGATCATCTCTTACTGTCTTTTTGGAATTCAAACTATACAGGGCTGCAGTGGAGTCTGAAAAATGACAGCTCTCTCAGGCCTCACCTCTTCTATCCACTGTAACCCTAAAATAATAGCAACCATTTCTGCTGTGTAAACAGACAGTTTATCATTAATTATTTTACATATAACTACATCAAACTCAGGTTTGTATGCTCCTGATCCTACATGTTCAGTCCCTGGATCTTTTGATCCGTCAGTAAATAATAGCATATAATTATAATAATTATTCTTCACATAATCTTGAACCAAATATCCAATATTATCCACATTACTTTCACTCCATTCTTTCTTCTTCTCTAGAAGCTTCAAGTCCACATTGGGCACAGGAAATATCCACAGAGGAACATTACCCCATACAGTATTTGGTCCATATTCTATGTTATTTAATCCATATTCTTCTGCTACTGCATTAATATTCCAGCCAATCCTT